ACGTTCAAAATGTTCGCGAACGACGGTTGGTCGGTGGTGGTGGTTACACACCAAGAAACGTAGCCCCCTGTATTATTCTACAGTCATATCGTTTTTATCATTTATTAACTAATTGTGAAACTTATTTGAATCAAATCACATTTTTTTCAAAAACAGTCCCTATAACATGTAAAATAAATTTAGTGATGCTTTATATCTTACCTGTTCAATGGCACATTGCAGAGGTTTTCAAACATTCCATACTGTTTCATTACTGGGGTATCCGCTACTCCGAATGCTTTGTAATCATTAAAGTTAGCAGCAGTCTCGCCAGATGCACCATAAGCAATAACGTTAGTATACCTTCAGTAAGTTTGATTTGTTAAGTGTTATTAAAAACTTATCAAGCACCATAGATTAACATCATCACCAGCTTGAGTCCAATAATTTGTGATCAGGCCCCAGTCAAAGCTATCTGTCAAGATACCAACAGCAAATCCGTATTGCTTCAAAAGTAAGATTCGTGATAGAATTACGTAAATAGGCTTACTCGTAATCTTCCTAGGACCTGGCTTATCATTCCTTGATTGACTGTCACGTCAGAACCCCATGGCATATCACTGGTTACCTTGATGAACAAATTATTCCAAAAAATCGGGTGTACTATCAATACCTTAACCCAAACTCTTCTGAAAGAGAATCCGTGTTTCTTCAGTTGCTTGTAAAGCTCATCGACTTGATCGTATCCTTGTCTAATTGCAGGATTTGGATTAATTTCCATGTATATTTCAACTGGCATGTTTGCTGAAACCAATACAATGTTCATAAGATACAGGTTGAATTATACCTTTTTGGGAAAGGTTTATGGTACCAACACTGTTATCGTCAAAGCTTCCAGTGTTATCAGGCTTGTAAACTCTGAAATTGAATGAATACATCACAAGCGAGGCTGAAGAACGTAAATTGTTAGTTTCAACATCAATTAGGCAAATGGCATTCTATATGTTCCAGGTTACAATTAACTTAGCTCACCTTGTAATTACTGCTTGGATTGAGTAATTGGTTTGCAAGCATTTTATCTGAGCAGTTGTTAGGGAAGTTTTAACATCAACGGCTAGTTTAAAACCCTAATAAGGCGGGTTGGATATTATTTTATAGGATTCGAATTACCTGGGTGTGCACAAGGCACAAAGCCAGAAGTAACGGACCGAGAACATTCATTCTGCCGGCTTACAGGAATGAACTGATACTATTCTTATCTCTTGGATGATTTATTGAAGAGTTATAATCAGAAAACATTTTAATTAACGATTTTTCCTATTTCAGTGTCACATGCATCGCTATCTTCATAAACCGTACAAAGTGCATGGAATCTTTATTCACGATTTCCACAGAGATTGACATTCAACGAAGTTTCTTTGACTGTTTTTGTTTTATGCGTAGATCATAACGTACAGCGCGATTTTCAATGTTTTCTCCTGTACTCAATACATTGGTGTAGAGTGAAATCATTTTCAGTAGAATTGCAACGCAGAACATCACGGTGAAAAAGGTTTTGAGGATCATCACAAACGCTGAAACACTGTCCGTATTTTATAACTTCTGAAAAAACCTACTATGGAAAGTAAATGGTTGCCTTCCTGTGATTACGCGATTACAGACTGGTTCGGCTGCGAACTCTACAGTCTCTGCCATTTGTGATGAAATGATGATGAAAACGATGCGACGCAACCGCTCACAACCATAGTTGGAATATGAGAATGAATTTGAAAAGTTATTACTTTTCCATGATTACATTCATTTCCTATACGTTCACCTATTCCATTTTCAAAGTTTTTCCATTAGACGAAGAGATTTTAGTAGAGGAATACAAGACTATGACAGGAGTCTTGGTTTCAAAAGTTCCAAACTCGGCTGTTTAAGGAATTGATGGCGAGTATAGTCATAGCCACAGATGTTTTATATCAACAAATTTTTCTCTCTAATCATCTCTCTAATACTATGATTCTCGCTTGCACTGACCTCTTCGGTTGACCAGGTCACAAGTTTCTATGAGTAAATTTCATAGTAACGACACTATAACGAAAAGACGTTGTGAGGTCAAGCTCCGCCTGAACTTAAGGTCACAAATGCTCATTCGTATAACAGTTGTGAGAGTGAACGGTTATCTGTAATTTTCTTTGTTATTTAACAAAAAAATATAACTCCAGTCAGTTTTATACAGTTGAAGAATCAAGTATAGGGCTCAATGAGACCTCTTTGTACTTGAATATTATTCAAGCAAAGCTGATTACAAGTTTTCGAAGTGTCAAAGTCATTATAGCTCTTGCCTTAGAACTAATCCAACAATATAAAGTGAAAATAGTTCAGAGCACAGTTATTTTTCTTGAGCAGCATTCCTTTGCGCGTCTGTATTGATCAGATAAGCTTTGTCACCTATTCTTACTAATCTATTCTCACTCACATTTAGTTGATTTTTATCTTAACATCCTATACAGTTTACATCTTCATTTCATTCAATCAATCTTATTGTCTAAGCAGACTTCATATCAAGCAGTAATCATATCCTTCAGTTTGTCTACATAATGTCATCAAGTATATTGCACCTTCACATCCGCTTTTTTTTGTTTGAAAAAAAAAAAGTGGAAGTAAAGGGACAATGAAGTGATCATTTATAATTCTATTAATTTCTGGGGTTTGAATACCTTTTATTCCTTCTTTTTCTTTGTTTTTATAGTCTTTCATCCGTTGCTCCCGGGAAATTTGGTGCATTGCTCCATATAGGCTCTGACGCGCATTATTGATTGATTCCATGAGATCGCCATCTGTAATGAAAAAATCATAAGCTTGCACGGTAACCTCGAATACACTCCAAGTTGAGGGAAAATGCACGAAAATCTTTCACATGCATGAATCGCGAGCTGAAATATCTGTTTTTTTTAAATAATTATGAACTTTTTCTGTAAATCTTGTCTGGTACTCTATCTCTTCTGATCTAATGCATGAGTAAATGTACGGTACAGCCAGAGAAACTTCAGAGAAGGTAGAAACGAGTTAGAAGTTAGAAATAAGAATATTCAGGAACGAATAAGTAACTAAGAGCAAAAGTTATATAACATACAAATATTATAAATAATGACCCATTGCACATTTAAGGTCAGACCACGCCTGTAGTTTGTAATAGGTCATACGGTATATTGATCGCGATGATATAATATAATTTGAATACAAATTAAATAACAAAAATAATCTTTTTTCAGTATTTTATGCTTGGGTCATCTGTCTGGCCAGACGGTAAGCTTTCGGTAACTTGAACAAACATCAAAACAACTACAAAAATGTTTGTAGTTTCATCAGAATGATCTGTATTTGTCATGCAGTTATCCATTTGATTAAACATCATAACAAACAATCACAGATTGATTATGTTTTCATTTATCAAGGTTCGCCTTTATATTTATCATTTATATTCCATGAATTTTTATAAAAATGCATTATATTTAGCTTCATGACATTTCCAGAGTCCATTTTAAGAATTATCTTTCCTTATTTTCTTTTCTTGAAATGAAAACATGTTAGAAATATCTTATTGGATGATATCTGATGTTATTCTGATGACAGTTTCCTTTCTACTCCATCAAACAGATTTATGATTCGCTCCACTATAAATTGTCACTAACTATTTGATATTCTTGAGATCCTTGTGGTTCAAGGCCCGTATTGATATTTATTTCATTAGATGTTCTTTTTGAATGTGATTCTTTCTTAGTGCGATTGTTTTCTGGATTCTTTTCTTTGCTATTTCTCTGTCAGAGGAAAGGAGATTGATAGCAAAATTTTTATGATTTGGTTTAGCATGTTGACGCTCAAGCGTTTACAATAAGCATTTCGAATTCGATTTATGCAACAAGTTCTTCCTGGAAACATAGACACTTTAAGTTTCTGGTTAATTTCATCTTTCTTACCTCAGCAACAGGCTGTTCTGGGAGATCTTCAAACTCATTTGAAGGGATTTGAAGGGGGATTGGCTCAACTGGTGGGCGAGCAGAGTCTCCTTCGGCCTTGACCTGTTCAACGTATTTTGGTGGCTCAAGGTTCTTTCTACAAATGTTGTTTTTCTTTATTCTTTTTGTGAATTCTTTTTTATTACCTCAGTTGCTCCAATTCCTCGTTACCCTTGCGTCCCCACTCTGGTGGTGGACGGGCAGTTCCGCGAGCAAGGGCGAAGGGCTTCTTCACGATGGGCTCGTTGAACAAGATTCTCTTGTCAACATAAGATCTTCTATCAATCTGTCTATCGAATTTGGATGCGACAGTGATTTTTGGTGGATGAACTGATTGCGAAGCTTCTTCAGGGTCGAGTCCCTTAGCAAGAGCTTTGTTTCGGGCAGCTTGCTTTTGTCTTTCTCCGAGTTCTTTCAACTGAACAAAAGAGATTATCAATTATATGTTTCTAGTTTCTTACGTCGTATTCTTGACGCTCGTATCTGTTTTCCAAATCATACTTCTCTGCTTCCAATCTTACGATACGAGCATGAAGAGTTCTGATCTTGTCTTTAAGATCGTTTGGAAGGTTTCCAGAAATGTCGATTGGACGGCAAAGAGCAGCCAAGAAAGAGCGCTTCATCTCTGCAAGTTGTTCAGCAGATGGACCAGCCTTTCCTGACTTTGGCTTCTGAACAATATTCTCATTGACCAACTCACCATAATCAATTACCTGGCCGAGGTTGGCGAAATCACGAGCTTGATCGTTCTTGTTGACCACGAAGTTTCTTCCACCTTCAGTTCCTGAAGCGGCAGCATTGAAAGATCCAGCCATAAGGTTTTGGCGACGAAGTCTTTCCTCGTTTTTGCGGTTTTTCTCAGCTTCGATGCGATTCTTTCTATCTTCCTGAAGGTAATTTTCCGATTTTAACAGCTTTGTGTGAGAAACCATACTTCTTCCTTGCGTCTTCTTTCTTCATCTTGACGTCTTCTTTCAGCGAATTCTCTCTCTTCGGCTTCTCTCTCAGCTCTGAATTAGGTATTACCAGTGATTGACAGTCACAATTAATATAATACCTTCTACGCTCTTGCTTCTCCTTCAAGTCACGCAACTCTTCTTCGATCTTCTCCTTCTCCAAAACTCTTCTTTGTTCGTAGTCCAAGAGCTTGGCAGCTTCCTCTTCTTCATGACGTTTCTTAGCAGCCAACATGGCAGCTTCAGCTTCAGTCAATTCTGCTGGAGGCTTCTCCTCTTGAACAATTGGTGCGCGAGTTTTCCTAATGTAGTTGGTTTGAAAAAATATGTTAATAGCTTGTCTTACTTCTCGACTGGAGCTACTTCTTCTTCAGCTTCATGTTCATCTTCCCTTAAAGTTTGAAAAATAAACTTTGCTTTGAGCTAATTGCTTACTTTTCTGGAGCATCGACTGCTTCAGACTCTTCTACTTCTTCTTCCTCCTCGATGATTTCCTCATCAGAGCTGAAAGTTAGATGACTCTAAATTATATGATTAAAAAAACTCACTAGACTTCTTCTTCGTCAGACATGGCGGAGTATGTAGCTGAATGAATTTAGCGATCAAGAGGGCACTGCCTTCTAAAAGTGTAATGTATGTAGGAGGCTGTTTATATTGAGAAATAGATAAAATACAATGGAACTAATATTGAGAAAAGAAAAAGATCATTAAGAATTAGTAGACAATCGACCAGATGCTCATCAAATGAACTGGAAATAGTGCGGAAGATGAAGATGAGAAAGGAGTAGGTGTGATTGTTACATATCTCTTTACAATCAAGAGATATGAGCATTTGTTCTTGCCATTCATTCATTGTTGTCTCTGTTTCATTCACATACTACGCATTCGACTACATCATTATTCTTTTGGTTGTAAACTCTTTGAACATCTGGATTTTCATTTATACATTTATCTTTCTCTCTCTCTCTCCTTGTATCATTCTAGAAATTTCTTTTATTCTGTTTTTACACTTTCTGATAGGAAAATCTTTTATTGAAAGAACAACTCCCCCTCACATTACACTTTCGTGATCCATTCTCTGTATCATAAAGTTTAAAGCTGCCTCAGGACAAACAAGAATGAAAATAGAGTATCTCAAGATCAAACTCTTATTCCTTGGATTTGGAATTGACTAACAAAGCGATTAGCTAGTTATGAAAACTAGGGATTAACTGACAAGCGGCTAACTGGCTACCTTGGCATAGACAGTTGGTGCTTTGGCTTCAGTCTGGAACAAGATGGCCACTTGCAAAAGCTATATGATTATGTTATTAATGAAACATATGTTGTAGTTGTATATTATGTCCCAGTCTCTGAGGATCTCCACGGACATACTGTAAATGTTGCTCTGAGTAAGAGCGAGATTCAAAACTTCAAAGTCTGTTTTAGTGATATGCTTATCCCCTGGATGCTCTATTCATTTTTTTTATATTGGTTCAAGGTGTTTTCTGGTTGTCGGATGGTTAGCTATTTCATTTCCTTTTCTAGCCCCATGGATTATTGTTGCTTGGAAACACCTGCTCCAGGATGCTTCTTAAAACTGATTCGAAAAAGATGAAAGGCTGTTAGTTAGGAAATGAGTGGATAGTTCTCCTTTTCGCTGTGACTACGCCTGCCGAGTGAGACATATTTGTCGAAAAAGAGTGAGATACTGTACTCTCTCTTTCTTTCTCTCAATCTATTTGAATGATGAGATCTGCAGAAAATGAAAAAACCAAAGGACAATAAAATAATTTCCTGTAGTCATCTGATGGAAAAAATTTGAAAATGGAATAGGTGAACGTATAGGAAATGAATGTAATCATGAAAAAGTAATGAATTTTCAAATTCATTCTCATATTCCAACTATGGTTGTGAGCGGTCGCTTCATCGTTTTCATACTCATCGCTATGCTCGGTATAGCCAATACACTGCCTGATAATCCATTATCTCGATACATAAAGACTTCGAAAGAAATGTGCAGTTTCAATGGTAAGTTGAATCAGCTTCTTCGACCAGAAAATTATGCTTCAGACAATCTGCTGTACCTCATCACCTTCTTCTTCATGATGATCAGCATCTCTTCTCTTCTGAGACTGTTTTTGACATATTATTATGTCATTCCAAAAGCACAAGCAGAAGCTGCGAATGAGGCAAAGAAAAAAAAACCTTTTCCGAACGAACCTCAACATGAGGTGTATAGAGGAGACTCTAACAAGATTGCTGGTGCCGTCCAGAAAGGACAGCTTGTGTACAGAATTGCACGCCACTAATCAATTCACATCAATTGTCTTGTCAACTGAATGCAGTTAAAAACCTTGTTGAAATAAATTGTCCCAAGAAAAGTTTTTTTCCTGAATTCAAGAACATTTGGTGCCGCGAAAATTTTTTTCCCCTCGGACCACGATGAACAGGCGTCAAATTATTTCGCGCCAAATTTGTGAACAATTTCTTGTTTGAACCAGACTGAAAGGATTTTAGTGTTGAAGAGAAAATGATTGTTCCATGAGCATGTTATGTTCACGTTAATCCGTCTTACATACTTAAATTCAAGTACCGAGCTTCTTCTCGAGAAATGAAACTAATAAAAGCAGATATTAAACGAATAAGAAGAATTTTAGAGTCATGTAGTCACAATCGAATATTCCTAAACTACGAATGCTCTTGTTTGGACAAGTTTTCCAAATACTCATCTTTGTCTGTTTTTTAACAGAAAACGTTTCAAGTGATATGGAAAAGTCATTATTCAGTCCAGAAATGCTCGAAATCGAAGCAAACGATAATATCAAAAGTAAGTTGCATTGAGTAATCACTTATTCTTCACTTTTATTTTCAGTGTTGATTATGTTTGCCTGGACCGTTGGGGCTCTTTACGTTCTATTCATGATTGTGTTCAAAACTATTACTTGGTGCCTTGATTGGCTGGAAGCAGAAGAAGGGGACACAACAATCACTCCTAGAAAAATGACCAAAAGAAAACGTTTCCCACGGAAATGAATTTCCTAATCAAGCAGATACCATTACATACTTCTATGATAGTAATAAATCAATTATTCCTTTTTTCACTCTTTTTCATAATTTGTGAATCATTTTCTCAACTCGAAAGCTTCAACTGCAGCAGTAACAGCAGCAGAGATGACTGGAGAAAAGGCTTCTACCCAATCTCAATCCAGCAGTGTTGTAACATAGATAGGTACTTGTATTTTCATGTCTCATATCATAAGTTGTTTTAGAACACAGTGCGAAGAAATAGATCTACCACCTACATCACCAAAATCAGTCAAGCTTGAAACAATCACCTTAGAAGACGAATTAGTAATAATATTAGATGAAGTTATAAAATCGAAATCATCACGATAAGCAATGAAAAATCATAACAGGTGCGCTATGAAAAATAATTTGCTTTTCTCATATTATATATAATTAGTATAATTAATATTTATTATTTTGTTAATTCATCATCGTCATCAATTGTGTCAATTCTATTTGTCATCATTCATGAGATCAAAGAAGATTTTTCTCGTTTACAACCATTTACCTATTCCACAAAAACCTTATGGGGTTGAGATATCTATTTTTGAATCATACCGTATTATACAAAATGCCAATAGACTTACCTGTTTTTTTATAACTTTTATTGATATATAACTTTGGCAGATGTCTAGGTCTGGAAAAGATTAGAGGTCATTGGCACAGGTCAGTTGTGTATTTAGACTGAGCGGGAAACTACAAGAGTGATGGAGAGGATGGGAGAGCCTCATAGGCGGAGATTACATATTTATGATTGTTATATAGATTTTTCTGTAGAAGAGAACAGGTCAAGAAGCATGCTGTGAGGCTAAACCAATAGAAGTTTTTACCGTTCAACCTATCATGCTTATATATAACACATATCTAAGAATGTCTTATACACTTACTTTACGCTATTCAGTTATCTTCTCATATTTTTAAAATTCAAATATTATATTTTCTTTCAACTTTATGTTTTTCCAGCTGAAGAATGACGGAGGGTGAAGAATTGAAGTACCTAGAAGAGTGTATTTGTAACAGTGATTGTTTTGATGTGCAAACATGGAAAACGTTTGTTTGGGGAAGGTCGAGACCGTGTCTTGAAAATAACCAGGCGTGAGTTTCTCAACAGTCTTCCGAAAAACGTTGATTCATACAGATATAGAGAGCAGCAGAGAGCAGCGTTAGAGAGGAAACATCAAGCTATAGAAGTGATAACTCTAGATGATGATGATACAACCGTTGGGGAACCCGCTTATGACTCAATTCCGGAACAATATGGCGCTTCCCTCATGAACCCAAACATGACACATTATACCGAAGATTACACGGGACAAGACACGGACCAATACACGGGACAGTGCGCGGAACAGTACACTGGACAATACAGGGATCAGTACGGGGAACAGTACAGGGAACAGTACAGGGAACATTACAGGAAGCAATACATGGAGCGTAGAACTCGTGAAGCGCACGTCATTGATGTCATCACTATCAATGATGAAGATTAAGTTGCAAGTTTGTCTTATCTTAATTTTATTCTCTGATCTACCCTTCTTACAGATACTTCTGTCTAACAGAGATATTCATTTTTTGATAATAATGTTTTTTTGATACGAAAATAAAATTTGCAGATTCAAAATTCAGCCTTATAGTTTTGAGCGTGAATAGTTACAGATTAGATTGAGAGTAGCACACATGGGTTAAGAGGCCAACACTTGCCAGTAGCAATACCTCACTCCAAACAATAGCATCTCTCGGCTAACTCTCACCATGCTTCTCAAATCGGTATCATCCTAGTTACAACTGTACTTGTCCTCATGAAATTTCTTTCTCTTTGTCTTGCGTTTTAGGTTGGAATAAGATAGTCACTTGTGAAAGTATATATATGATAATGTTATTAATGAAACATATGAATGTGATGAGTAACTAACTATTTAGTTGATAACAAAGTGTCTTTGAAAGACAACATGACTTCCGAATTGGGTGAGACATACATCAACATCATTACTACTTCATCATTATTCAAATCACTTCCACTTCTTCAGAAAGAGGTTTTTCTGTATTATATCATCAGATTCATCATGCTGGATAAGTTCAAAGTAATATATGTTCTTCCTTATCTTATTCATAAAATTACACCACAGGAACGCGTTATGACAAACACTACTCTTTTTGAGAAAGTCGATCAGCTTGTGCACTACTATCCAGTTTACGTGGCAATTGGTTGGAAAGATATTTTGAGAAATATCATTATGTTTTCAGTCATCTTTGTTTTATACTATGGCCTTTTCTGGTTGTGTTTCCTAGCTTGTGATAATGCCCAGCGAGCAATGTTCCGCTATATTACAAGTCGAGGTACCTCATTTGTATGAGAAAATTGTTTATTCAAACTGTTTAGCGATACCTCCAATCACAAATCCTCGAGTCTTAGAAACAGGGCACACGAACGATGTTCAGATTAACGACGAAGGAGCTGAACCAAATGCTTGAACGAAGTTGAACAGTTTTTCTGTGGTATATCTATTTGTTAATGAAGCTGTACCTTTTGATCAATAATTATTCGAACGTAAAGAAGTGATCTACGCAATGTTACGGTTCAGTTGCATGCATCAGCTGTAGCAGCTGGCAGTTCAAGCCCTGATGACGTCATGTTTTCTCTCTCAATCTGTTTGAATGATAATATCTGCAGAAAGTGAAAAAACCAAAGGACAATAAAATAATTTCCTGTAGTCATCTGATGGAAAACTTTGAAAATGGAATAGGTGAACGTATAGGAAATGAATGTGATCATGGAAAAGTAATAACTTTTCCAATTCATTCTCATATTCCAACCATGGTTGTGAGCGGTCGCTTTATCGTCTTCATACTCATCGCTATACTCGGTATGGTTTACGCACTGGAAAAAACAGTGTCTGCCTCTTGCATGATGTATTCAAAGCTACAAACGATAAAAAAAAACGAAACGAATCAAAAGTTAGTTGAACCAGATGTTTCAATCAAAAAGCTATTCCAGCAGTTCTGGTCGTGATTTTCTTTTTTTTCTTCGCATTCATCACCATTATAATTCTACTCAAACTGGCCAATTTCTATGTTAGTGTGCTGAGCTTCAATTAGGATGCCGAGATTCGCGATAATCGTTATGATCGTCTCAGAAAACGAAGAGAGCAAAACAACACATAATGAAATGATGAGAAATCACGACGATAAACGATATGTATCGTTCCATTCGGATAGTAGAGACATATGGGATGAGTAAGAATCAGAAAGCCAGCGCTTACTGACACCCAGGCCAACCCTATATTAAGCCTCATGAACCAGAGTCGTGGAGACTCTTCATCTGTCATCTATCCCTCTCATCCTATCTTTAAGGACAAGACACGGTGTCCTCCGGGACACTCGTTGTCGAGTCCAATGTAGAGTTCTCCTAGAGGAATCTCATCTTTGAGACCTCTATCCTTAACATCTTATATTTATCAGTATTACTCTATGTGTTGATCATGTGTCCTTTGTAGATGATACCTTGAACTCAGTGCTATGTATGAACCATGTATACTTAATATACTCTTATAATAAATATTCATATACACACACTGTTCTAAGTTACATTCCAATCCTCACCTACCGCTACACATAGTCGGTTGACAACCCTTCATAGGGGTCTCACCAACGGTGAGGTGTAACACCCCTCCTAAGATAGAAGGGAGAAACTTTAATGGAACGGTATGGCAACAAAAAATTAATATAACTCCAACAGATACGTGAACATCTTAGATTCCAATTCAAATTGTTAGAGCCGAAATGGCTAATCGTCCGATAAACAAGATTATATAATATTTTCATCAACTAGACGGGAGCCAACTGTTTGAAGAACCTAAGACGTGCGGATTGTTAGGATTATACACAGTCAGTTTTTCTTCATGTAATTTGATAACTTCATCTTACTCTAGTGCTCTAATGTACACATTCCGATCACGAAGAAACTGTTGGATGGAACTAAAATCAAATGCACTGTCCAGACGCAAGACGGTATTAAATTTTCCATTTTTAAAATTTTGCAAAGTATTTGTTAATTTTCTAGGTACACCTTCAGAATCTGAAATTACAATTATACAGCTCAGAAACCGGAACTTTCGAGGAAAAACATCCGAGAACGATTCGAGTTCGCACGACGTCACAAGGAGTGGGCCGTCGCTGACTGGGAATAAGTCATCTGGACGGACGAAAGCAAGTTCATGCTTTTAGGAAACCAAGGGAGACGGCTGGTACGACGTCCAGTAGGTACCAGATACAACCGGAGGTACATAGCTGGGACCACAAAGTTTGGAGGAGGGTCTGTAATGGTCTGGGGTGCTTTCACAGCATCAGAAGTTGGTCCCCTGCACCGCATTGAAGCAATCATGGACCAACAGGTCTACAAAGGGATCCTAGAAGACGTTTTCTACCTCTACGCCAGATCTAGATTGAGAAGAGGGTACATCTTCATGCAAGACAACGACCCCAAACACACCGCACGGACCGTGAGGATGGCTCGAAGATCATGAACCTCGCACCTAGGCGATTCGCATCCGATGGGAGTTCTCACAGTACACTTGTATGCATTTTTCGAGTTAGAGGATACTATTTTCAGGGGTTTATCTTATCATATCAACTAGTATATTATTTATTATATTATATAAGGTAAAGTAGGATTTCTATTATATTAACAATAGTTATTGATTAGTCTATATTAGCGTTCGAAATTCATGCAGAAAGCAATATTTCAAGATCTTACAATGGTATGATGCACAAAGAATGAAAATATTTAATTATTAGAGAAATGTATATCAATATGAAAATCAATATTAATACCATTAATGCAGCCTATATATGCTCGTTTCATTATCGATCATAATGTTTTGTTTGATATATCACTTTTAGTTGTTGTTTGTTTCACCCTTTTTTGGTTTCTCCAACACTTTGGTAATATCTGTTAGATTGACATCAGTGCCAAATGGTACGAATAGATATGTGTGCATAATGTAGAATAGCCAATCTCTGAAATATTTTTATTCATTTAAAAGATTCGAAAAATTTTATAAATCTTACTCATCACTCATCTTGCATGCAATATTGTCAATATGATAGTTGTAGTGTGAATGACGACTAAGATTTCTGAAAAGAATTTTTTTTTTTCAATATTTGAATTCATATTATTACCTAGGAGAACGACGCTGGTCGAATGCTATATCTTCTGCGGTTAGTCTAGGTAAGTGCTGACTAACAATATGCCATGTGGATTTGTATCTATGGGGTTTCGAACAGCAACGGCTCAAATACAATCTATTCCGACTCATCTAAAGATTGAAAATGTATGCATTTCCTACACATAGATACGAGAAAAACAATCGGACGGAATATGATTTTAATTTTCAAAATGTCTCTGAATCAAACAGTCGGTAGAGATCAAAGAGTGATTAGAATGCTGCATCTGTGTAGGTTGCTAAGACAATCATGCTTTATCAGATATTTTAAGATTGGATAGCCAATTATAATAATATTTAATCGGATATAATTGGTTGTTGTTAGATATGTTTGTAGTTTAAGGCACCTGACTCAGAAACAGGAAGACCGCTGATGGAAAGTGAATAATAGAGAATTGAGAACGCTGTTCGCCTCAAAAAGTCATAGAATGAACTAATAAAATAAGAAAAGCATTTGCTAACATGCTATTTCCATTTCAGATTGCTTTCTAAGATAGCAGCTCTTACAAAACGTGTGAAAAAAAGATATCTGGCAGCTGCAAGAATAGAGATGGAAAGGAAGGATGCGCAAAGAATGCACATAAAGCTTAGAAACTCATCATACATCATGTAAGGCTTACATTATAAAACAATCATCATTTTCCAAATGTAAGCGTTGCTGATACCTGGATGAATGCCAAAAAAGCTAATTGAGACAAATTATAATGTTTTTCATTATAAATGATTTTGAAAAATATGTGGGTTGGTGTGTGGTTTATTGTTTTTCGATAGAAGACGAAGAATTAAAAAAGAAAGAAGAAAGAATACCATGTTAAGTAAGGGGTTAAGCTGAATAATGGCTTTGTACTACTGCTTGTAGCTGTGTAAGGTATTTCTCTCACAACATGAGATGAATATGATAATTGCATTAGTTAGATGAATAAGGCAAAAAAGAGATTTAAAACTGAAGTCATATATGAGGAGTGAGAACCAAGCTCCAACAAGTTGAAACTGACTTACTTTATAAACGGCTGACATATTATACAACTCTCTACCTTTCTCTCCCTCTCTCTCTATCTCTCTTATAAATATCCCTCTCATTCATTTCTCTTTATTCTTTTGTTATACCATTTTTGATTTTGTAATGATCGATTACTAATAAATGAATTTGTTTTATGTATTGTTAATGTTGCTACCTTACACGCTGAATGTGTTGACTTGTTTAAATAAGACTCAAAGCCTGTTATGGACTAAGTGTAGAAGGAGTTTAAAAATAATTCTTTAAGAATTCAATCATATTTGGTTGAAAATAGTTGAAGATGTGATAATCATAGCAAGTATGTTGTTAGTTGAGAATACACGGATGAGAGAAAAGAGAAGAAGCAAGAGAAGAAGCAATTATATTTTTTCCATATCAAACTATGGTTTTCAACTCGTTAAGAGAAGATCCATTAATAGGATGTTCATAAGTGCTCTCATGCAAGCTTTTGCATTCACATCTTCTTCATTTCGCTCTCTTCTAATCAGAATGTCAGATTGAATGAGAGAGTATGCTAAAATAAGGGAGATAAAGAGAAAAATACGAAAAAAATACATTTTTTATTTGGTTTGTTTTAATAAGATTTTTCTGGAATATATTTTGATAGAAATGAGCATTGTTATTAGCTTTGTTAATTGAATGAGCACGTCTCATTTATAGATCAAAGAAGAATACGTAAATGATGTGTGATGTTTGTTGATCAACAATAATATTTTATAATTTAATCTATTGATTAGCATCATCAATTTATATCATATAATTAGTTAACATAATAATATTATTATATTATTTAATTTTATAAGAATACTAGAAGAATGTTTTAGAAAATCATTTGAAGGAATGCTATTGAAATGAAGCTGTGCTCTGCATTTGCTTTTTGTCTTTGTGTGGTCGATCAAAAGATGGTCTTGGTATTGTTTGTGATTAATACCCTTAGACAATGACTAACTTTTGACGTTTATTTTTTCTTAAAAGAATTAAAAAAAAGAAAGATAGAGAGAGAGAGAGAGAGGATGAGAGAGATAGAGAGATCTGAAGGAATACGCATATGTTGGCGCATTTTCATTTAAGCGATTTCTATAGATGTCGGAAGGTTTTGATGTTAAAAATTGATTTTTTTCTCTTATCATCATCCTTCTCTATTCATCACCATATTGCCTTGTTAGATATTGAATCTGTTATATGCTTGAAGATGTAGAGATAGATTTACAAACCCTTCTAGTAGTTAATCACTTGTTCATTACCATTTTGTTAGAGATAGCTGACTACATCATGCATCCTTCTTCATTTATCCTTCCTCTTCCATTTTCATTTTCTCTCTGTTAACCATTCTCTAGGTTCCCTCGTTTATTCGCTTTTTCAGTTATTTTCTTTCTTCTTCCATCTCCATTTTCATTTGTTACAATGAGTTTATTCCAGTGAATTAGCATGTTTCTTTTCCTCCATCACGCACAATGATTTTTCAACAAAAATCACAATTATCCACTGAATTGTATGCTGATTACCCGCTATTGGGCAACATTGGACATCCGGCGCTATGAGACTTCATGTGAAATTGCCAACAATTTTATATAAGAAATTGTGCATTGTTGAAAGAATGAATATGAATAATATAATAACTGAAGATTATGATGAGAATCCATCTATTGTCAGCTGAAAATCTCATCCATTGTTTTCTTATTTTTTGGGTTAAAAACTCTGAAATATTCAGAGGTTGTATCATTCTCTCTCTCTCTCTCTCTCTTTGTTCACTTCTATTTTTATTTTCTGTCTTTTTCCCTCTATCTTTCTCACTCTCTGTTTAATCCCTTCTATGTACGTTCACGTCTTCGCACCAGAATCCACAGAGCATTTTTCGTTTTAAATGAAATTCTTTTTTTTCTTTTCCTCATTCCAACTCTTTCTTATTCATTTTTTTTCTCCTTTTCTTTTTTCTTTCCTTTTTTCCTCCAATTCTGTGAAGCTTACTCAGCTGCAAACTGCTTGTAATCTCAAATAGTTGTATTATTTCCCTTGTAATTGTGTAGATGTGGATTTCCTTTTGTCACTTCCGTTACACTTCCGTCGGCGGGGTCGATTTCAAGAAAGAAATAAGAAAATATATCCTTTTATACCTAATATAGTCTGTGTGTGAATGAGAGTGAGTAAGAGAGAGAGACAGAGAGAGAGAGAGTAACAGAGAAAGAGAGAAAGAGAGACGAATCATTAATGAAATAGTTTGTTTTGTAGAATATTATACATTAAAATTATATATAATTGTTTGTTACTTTGTCATAAACAAAGCAATTAGTTTGATCTTTTGCATTTTCATTTTCTTTTCATCAACATCATCATCATCATCATCCTGATTCGTGTTTTTCCTAGAAAGTTGGTGAAGCAATTCAGCTTTTTCAATTTCATATTTTGAAAAGAAAAAATTATTATTTTTGCATTTTCATTATTCATTTGTTCATTGTTGTTGACATTCATTTCATTATTTCAATCATAACATGCATTGTATGACTATTCACATCCATAAATAGTCTGACATCTCTCTTCAAGTGTTTCAATGCTTTATCTGAGATCTTACTAAGTTTTCGTAAATGCTCAATGGGTGCCTGTTGTCATTGTGTTGAAAGAGAAGGAAAGGAGGAAAGGATAGAGGAAGGAAGGCAGCAAGGGTTGAGAACATGAAGAAAAATGAATGAAAATGGGTTTTTCATCAAACAATAGCTCTAAACAACTCATATTCTCGGGGAAACGGACAATTTATACTTGGGACACAGAGTAATTTTCTCGACATTTGAATGGAAAAAGCCTTTAACGACCAGTTCACATTTTCCGGGGTTCATGTTGGAGGCTTCATTCTGATCTTGTAATGTATATAGTATGATGATGTTGTTGATATCGAAAATTAGCGCGATATACTGTTCATCTATCTCAATTGACTCTTTTGTTGAGAAAATTTCTTCGCAATCGACAACATGCAGATGTCCTCTATTCAAATAAGCATTATAGGAAGTTCTCTTTACTACAACTTCTTCTTTTTCTTTTCTCCTCTTTTTTTTCTCATTGCCTTAGATTCCTTTTGTACTTTGCTCTTTCAAACATAATGTTAGAGAAAATTGAATAACATTGTAGAAAATGGAGAATAGAGAGAATAAGATAAACTTATATAACTAGAGAAAGATGATTAAGCATTCAAAGAGATGAAGAGAGAGTTAGAGAGAGTTAGAGAGAAGGGAAGGGCAGAAGGGATGTGCCTTTGAACTAAATCACTCCATATACAACTATATAAGGAGAGATTATATTGAACAGCTGGATAAGGATTGCTCATTAATCCCCTCTATTTCTCATAATTGAATAATCGTCCTCTTGGCCAAATTCTATAAAAATCAGCATCTTTCAACATTTTGGAAGATGCGAAAAGTTGAAAATATTCTTTCATACTCTTCAACCATGTATGAGAATGCTTCTAAAACATCAACCATTGACTATTCTGAAACTGATGTAGGAGAATCATCAACATCTTCAACATCTAATGAACATGATGATCAGGTCTGTTACTCATTTTATATATATTAATTATATTATTGATAATACTTAATATCTTCTAAACTCTCTTATAATAGGCAGACAAATGGTCTCACTAACAAACAGATCGTTTAATGCTTAGTGAATGATTGCTAAGATTATCTTAGTAATCCTAGAAAAGCTTTGTGCGATTTGAAGCTTACAAATTTCTTATTTGACTTCAAAGTTTTCTTCGAAACTAGAATAGAGTAGAGAGAAGACAAAAAAATTCTTCTTTCCATGCTTTTTTCGTTCCATCACTCTCTCTCTATTTCTCTGTCTCTCTCTTAAAGTTTGCATCTTGTTCTTTCTATCTTTTCGTAAGCATCATTTCGTTTTTTAATTTCTTTCATTGTTGTAACATTTTGAGCGTTCATTGCATTTGTTCAGCAATTAAATATTTTAATATGAAGCAATAGATGTGCTCATTAGATTCTAAATTAAACAAACAATCCGTTTTCGTTAACCTTCAAAAGCTGATGAATGAGAACAATGATCAATCCTCATTCTCATCCATGTCACACATCCTTTCCAAACTATTTCAATTGTATAAAACTTTTTTTTCGTTGTTCTTCTTCAAAAAAATATTTTTACTGAATGTTGCTACTGTTTGGTTGATTGCCTTCTGCTTTACTTTGTTAATCCTTTAAGTATACAGTTATATTCAATTAGGAATTGCTTCAAGGTCGAAAACATCTCAAATCTTATTAGACCCGATTGACTATTCGCTCATAATTGCAGTTACATGCTGCGCTCTAATACTTTAGTCCTAAAGAGGATAGTCAACACTCAGATAGAAACTCAATTCATCTGTCCAAGAGTCTAATTGCATTTAAGATGTCTCAAAACTCATTTTAGAGAATTTGAAAGCGCTCAATCTGAAAATCACATAATCTGCATATTCCTACTGTATTATAATTTTCCGTCAATGATCTTTACTTCAATGAGCTGTCAGACGAACATTCGAAACTTAAACTCTTGTGTGACGTTCAAACAAAGCAGTTGAGAACGGAGAGAGTGTGAGAATAATGATAGAAATTCAGAGTTCAATAGGAAGGGAATGAGAAAGAGAGAGAAGAAGTGCGAAGACGAAAAGAGTTGAAGAAAAAAGTAATTGAGAAAGTTCATTGACAAGAACGATAGATAGATTAAACAGCTGAATGAGATAGTATGTCTAAGAGAGAGAGAGAGAAAGAGAGAGGAAGAGAGTGAGTATGAAACGAGAAAGACTTTTGATGTTTATACTGTAAGTTGGTTTCAATATCCATATCATCTTCTCAAGATTTTAAAAACGTTTCTCATCTTGAGTTAGCGTGACCACATGCAAACATCTAGAAGTTATCCATGAAGTATGATGACACACACACTCACACTCACAAGACATTCATCTGATGAGGGGTTTGCGAGAAAACTAATAGATTAGATAGAAAGTGGATGACATAATAGTTAGTATTTCAAGAGGTTATTTGATATTATTCAGAATATTACTTAAATAATCCAATATGTTCATACTACACACACTCATCTATAGCTTCATCTAGACTATATACTATATGTCATTTTTTAAAAATTATATTTCATATTAATTATGATTGAGCTTTAATCTTTATTTATCTTCATCATCATCCTTCTGTTTCTGCTGCTCCTCCCTCTCGTCCATCTTCTTCTTCATCTTCTTCTTCATCTTCTATTATATAAACCATTTGTTTAATGTTTATGAAAAACCAGATATTTCATTTTCAGAATCAAAAATTTTCTTTTTTTTTTCTTCTTCTCTTTTCCTTCCCCCTCTCTCTCTCTCTCTCTCTCTCTCTCTCTCTCTCTCTCTCTCTCTCTCTCTGTTTATAAAAAGAGAATGTGTATTCTCTACAAGTATGAACCAGATGACTCAGATAAATTATAATTGTATGAATAACAATAAACAACCAAAACCCTTTACATTCCTTATCCAGCCACCTTCCTTCCCCTCTCCCTTCTCATTTCTCATTTTTTGTTGTTATTATAATTTATTGATTGATCTATAACATGCTCTGATTATACTATAATTTCTTTAATTGTCATCATATGACGTGTACAATGTACAACATCAATCTGGCACCATCATTAACAGTCTTTAATGGTCATGCCTTATGCATGCTGAACTGTCTTTCTCTTTAATTATATTTATGACAGATGTTTATGAATTTTCATTTCCTTATTTTTGTTTTTCTCTTTCAATCTCATACACTCCCTATCTTGTTACTCCCTCTTTTTCTCTTTTTCTTCTACTCTCTCTTGCTCTCTCTCTCTCTTTCTTTTATCATTCTACACCAGCTAGTTGTTGCATTTGATTCTAATAGCGTTTAAGTATGAAGAAAAAAAATTTTTTTCCTCCTTCTTCTCCCGTTTAACCGTTTTTTTTCTTCATCTTTCTTTTCTTCCCATTTCTAAGAAAACAAACGTCTACGAACTATTCTTGTTTGCTAAGCAAAATGAAATGAAAGGCAATGAAGAGCGTTTGATTTCATGATGTTGTCATATATCTTATCAGTTATTTATTTTCACAGAAAATGAGCTATTGTTTACCAAGATATCTTGTCTAGTTAACAATTCCTTATCAGAGTGCGTAGTTGTCAATAGAGTGTCTTAGATACCTTATAATGTGTGTATGTGTGTGATATGTGAGTTAACGTCATTTCATATTCCTCTCTCTCTCTCTCTCTATATATATATATATGTTTATATTTATATGGAGATAGATATTCTGTGTTAATTGGATAGTCTCATTATATATTCCTCTTACTGTCTCCGATGAGGGTAATGGATATGATGAGTATTAAAGTATATGAGAGAGAGAGTTAGATATCAAATGAGAGTATATACTTATAGCGAGAGCAATCATTCTCTCATGCTTTATTATATTTTCCATGAAGCTTACTATACACTTCTTCGTTTTGAACATTTTCTCTTTAAATTTTCTTCTTATTCAGCAAATTCAAGTAATTTTCAAACTCAAATATGAGAAAATTGAATTTTCGCTGTCTTGCTCGTATATGGGTGGGGGGGAGAAGAGAGGAGTAGCTATGAAATATTCAAGCAATTGAATCCGGAGTTTACTTTGAAGTTACGCAATTGATCAAAAGCTCTTCTTTCGCAGACTAATACAATCAGCGTGAGAGAACAGTAAGCTGAAGACGCAATAAGTGTCTAAACTAAGAGAAATCAAATCTAAACAAGAAAGCATTGAATCATATCACTCCAATTCTTTCTTCAATCCTGCTTTATTGAATTTGGATGACTTGATTGGGCATGTGTGTGTGTGTGTATGTGCATGCGTCTGTCTATTTGTGAATAAGGAGAAAAGAGGAGAAATGAAATAAAAAAAATAAAATTTAAAAAAAGCTGCTGAATGAGAAGAGAATAGAGTGAGCAAAACATAAAAAGCTAAAGAGAAGATGTCTCTATAGCTCTATCGTTGTACTATACAACTACTTCTTCTTTCTGATTTTCGTCTTCTTCAATATCAGATTCCAAACTTGAAGCTTATATTGTTTATGATGAAATAAAAGAAGTTTTTATGGAAAAAAAAATCTTGGAAACGTTAATGCACTCTATCTATTCCTTACTCTCTTGTTGCTTTCCCTCCCTCTCTCTTTCTCTCTATCGCTTTATGCAATCTCTCTAAATCAATGTTACTCACATGCACACACACGCATACACACACAGTGTTAATTCAATTTTCATTTTGACAATATTCAAAGTTGGTTTCTTCATAATCCAAACTTAACTTGACCATTATAAGCAATATGGTTTTCGTTTATTATTTCAATGAATGTGACCGAGAGTGACAAGTTGACAGCATTTGTTTTGCCTGTTTTATTGAATTTTCTTTCTGCCTACTAATGAAATGAAGGGTCTGTCAGCTTAATACAAACATCAGGAAGTTCGTAAAAAAGGAAAAATGTCTCTTCTCGCCCAGAAAAATATGACTGGCATGTTGAAGACAAAATTCTTTTTCTTTCCTCCCTTTCTTCTACTTTGCTTTCACGTTACTTTCATGATTGTTTCCGTAATCATTCAGCCGAGTATTGAATGAATGAACTTGCATTCTTCTGCTTTCTTTTTAAATTTGTTAATCCATATAGTTGCTCTAATCAACTTACATCAAATTATAGTACTTTGCTCTATAGGATATAAAGCATTCTTTGTACTTTCTCATAAAGCTTCATTCGAGCATCAAAGTCTATAATCATTAATTATCTATAAATGAGTGAAGACATGCAAACAAGACTTTCAACCCAAATTCTCTTAATGAGAATAAATGCATTAACGGCCCATTTTCTATCAACATTTCAAGAGTTGGGATAGAAGGCTGAAGGGTAAAAGAGAGAAATGAAAAAGAGCATTAAGAATAAAGAGAGAGAGAGAGAAATGGGAGGATGGGTTAAGCTAACTTTTCTTGACAGCTCAAACAGACCTCAACTGATTCTATTTGACTTTATCTTGACAGCACTATACAGGAAAAGCTAATTCTTCTAAGTAGCTCGAACGAAAACTTGAAGATATATCGGAGAGAAATTCATCTTTTGCGCTACTTGAGAAATGCCAAAACGTTTTTCTCTTTCTCTTTCACTCTCTCTATCACTCTCTCTCTCTCTCTCTATGCTACAATCATTTTTCTTTTTTTTTTATTGTCGGTTATTAATCTATTTCATTATTTCTCATATTTTGATATATAAAAGATGAGAATAATATGGATTCGTAGATATCTAATTAGTAATGATGTTTATGAATAACAAGTACGGTATGCTGCTGATTCACTCAATAGTATACGAAAGGACAGGATTTGAAGAGAATGAAATGCTTGAAACTTTTTCTTTTCCTATTCTTCATCATCTTGTTTTGAAAAAAAGAAATCTTTTTGAATTCATCTTTTCGTTTCCTTTTCTTTCTTTCCTGGAACTGTTGTCCAACTTCTACATAACGTTATTTGATTGAATTCACTC